AAAACATCAACCTTCGTGGGGTGTGCGGTTTACTCCACTACCTTCAGGGAATTTCGACAACTCCACACTTGTGCAAATATTTTTACTGCTGAATTGTATGCCATTTCAATGGCTGTTGAGTACTTACTGGAGAACAATATCATGAAAGCAATTCTGTTTGTCGACTCCCAGAGCGTTCTTCTAGCCATTTCGTCCTTAACAGACAGTAAGAACCTTCTCGTACAATATCTTCGGGTACGGTTAAACCGAGCACTTCAACTAGGACACTTGATCAAATTCTGTTGGGTTCCTAGCCACGTAGGTATTTCCGGCAATGAGAAAGCAGACTTGCTTGCTGGCTCTGCAAAAGAGTCCCCAAAACTGCCTCTTGGCTTGCCACACCAAGACCTGAGACCAATCATCCAGAAATCAATTATGAAGTCATGGCAGTTGGATTGGGATATGGAAAAAGAGAACAAGCTTCATGTTATCAAGCCCCAACTGGGAGTGTGGGAGAGTTCCTCCCATAAAGACCGTCAGGTTGAAGTTCTCCTTTGCCGCTTACGGATCGGTCATACCCGTTTGACTCATTTGCACCTGCTCTGTGGTGAGAACGTTAAACTTTGCGACAACTGTGGGAAAGTTATGACTGTTTTGCACATCCTGTGGCATTGCAAATCTTTAAACCAAGAGCGGCGATCATGTTTTCCAGAACTTTTTCGAGGTCACCTTCCCTTTCACCCATATTTTCTGCTAGGCGATCAACCATTGGTACCATTCAATCGAGTTTTAAATTTCCTTCATAAAACTAGCTTTTTACACCAGCTGTAGCTTCCAGTTCGTATAGATTATACTTTTAAGCCTCTTAGAAAAACCTTTGTTTGGCGCAATATGGCCTAAGTTGCTCTTGTGCCAAAAAAACCCCAATCATCATCATCATCATCACCCTTTCTAGACATTAAAGGGAAACTCCGCTTCATTTTTGATATTATAAAGCTATGCAGCCCTCTTCAGTATCATATAGGACGACCCCATGTCAAATATTACAATCTAATTCTGTTTATATATTTAATAAACTGGCCAGCAAACTTTCAAATGAGCCAAGTCGCCGAAATCTGCCAACTCTAGCATGCAACATGAGGCGTAATCGTCAGCGCAGTCAATGCAACGGAGTTGGAGCAGTCAACGTTGAGCCACTACGTCAGAGGCATGTCTACGTCATTCTCACGTTTTGTTTGTTTTAGTTCTCAGAGCGAAATTGAACGATGACGTCATGAGATTCTCCTCCGGTGTTGGCTCAACGGCGTCCACGTGATCACCGTAACGCAGATGCGCTAGTTTGCGCTGCCCTACACGCTTATCTGTCTGTTTCTCCACTCCCCCTCTCCTCTTTCGTCTTCTCCCCTTCCCCCTCTCCCCCGGGCCATCACCGTCCACGCGCGTGTCCTGTACCTCGCCTCCACGAATGTCACAAAACCACGTGGTTCGACGTGATGTGGCCATGACAATGACGACACGAGACCAATGTTGCCTGTTGCAACCAAAGTTTCAGTATCCGCTGATGTTTAAATTAAGATTACAAAAATAATATTCCACATTTCGCGAATCCCAAGACGTAAAGCTGCTTAGTAGTGCTTTGTGAAATGGAATCGCATGTATGCCTAAATTTTTTGGAATTAAGCGGAATTGCCCTTTAAAAAGATACTACAACAAAATTTCGGCGCTCATTTTTTGGTCTATATGTGTTCAAAGGAGCAGTATCACATCGAACATGGCAATATCTTGTTAAAAAAGTCCAGAAAAGGAATTTTAAAACAAATTAAACGTTTAGCAAAGAGCACCTGGAGGATGTCGCTAACGCCTCGTTTGTAATGCCCGTCTAGGAACCTTGACAGCTAGTGACAGAGGTTGTCTCGCCTCCGGCCACGACGAGAAAAGAGGGGAAGGAGGAGCTCCTTTCTTCCCGGGAATGCCTTTTGTGTGTCGCAGAAATCGCTATTGTCCCCTTACAAGATTACAGAAGATTAACCCTTCACTCAAAATTCGTACAAAAGCAGCCGCTTCGGTGGCTGGAACGACTAGGCCATCATCTCGACGTCAGCCTCGCCGTAGCTTTGCTCGTCCCGTGACGACCTACGTCACAATTGTGTTGGATGTCACATGGTCTTCGCTGGGCCTTCTCCGAGCGCTTACCAGAGTGGGCCGTTCATAACGAAAAGTACAGCCACCAGGCTCAAAAAACAAATGTGCGATTGTCATCTACAGATATTGTGGATCATATTCAACCTATTTTTATACACGACGGGAATATTTCAAATTTCGTTGAAGTATCCCTTTAAGGGGGTTTATAACAATGTGAGTCAGGAAAAACTCTTGGTACAGCTGAGAGAATATGATTTATATGCACATTTGATTAGGCTTTTAGAACAGGTATACACAGATAATAAGCTTGTTTTAACATGGGAAGCAGAACCAGCAGAAATAAAAAGAGAACTCGGGCAGGGTTGTCCCCTATCACCTCTACTTTCTGTGATATACCTGAGTAGAATGGAAAAAAAATTAGAGGGGTGCAATTTAGGTTTTAATGTGTTATATATGGAGAGAGGGGGAAAAAATATACCAAGTTAAACCAGGAACGTTCTACGCGGACGACATTGTACTGTTAGCAAATAGCCGGGATAGGTTACAGGAGCTGATTAAGATCTATGGAAAGGAAAGGGACTCTCTAGGCCTAAAATTCAGTAGCAACAAGTCTGGAATAATGGTTTATAACCATTATTCCCGCTGAAAATATGAGATGTTTTAATAGAACACATAGAGAAGTATAAATACCTACCGTAGGATACCGTGCATCCGCCCACACCACATTAAGCGCCCATACCCAAATTTGTAAGTTTGAGAAAATATGCACAGTACATTTATATGTAGAATTGATGACTGGACAAGCGCCCATCCCCCATTTTTTTATGATTATCTCAAAATTTTGAGTGGGTGCTTGCCCGGTATTTTACGGTTGCAGTATGGCTGAATGAGGGAAAACAGTACTTAGAAGAACAGGAATAAAATATGCTGAAGAAAGGAAAAAGGAATGCAGCAATTATGAAGCATTAATCACAATGGAATTACAATATAGATATGAAGTTGTGAGGGGAATATTGAAAGGAGTCATGGTGCCGGGGTAGTCTTTTGGCAATGCGGTATTATGCATGAAATCTGAGGTCCAGTCGAGCTTGGAGACCCGGCAGAGGGGCGTGGGCAGACTGGCATTGGGGGCGCATGGGAATATACCAAATGAAGGAGTGCGGGGAGACATGGGCTGGGCATCTTTGGACGCTAGAGAGGTGATCAATGCGAAGGGCATGTTCGTCTGCTTCTTGCGCAGGGGGTAGCGGTGACATCAGAACACCGAGCCCATCATTGGCTGATCGCAACTCCCTATCTGAGTGTCGTGTGCTCCTTTGTAGTTTCGTCGGCTCGCAACGTCGTCTGCGTCTGTCTTACCTTTCCTGCGACTTTCGGAAGTGCAGGTCTTTACGAGCGAGCTCGACTTCGTTTTTCAGAAAGGGCAGACAAAATAACTCGAGCAGTACATTGTTTTTGTTTACCTTTCCTGTGTCTGTTGAAGATTCACCGCTTATTCACCGGCGAGAACGCGGCCTCCGAAAAAGATTTATTTTTGTCTTTGTCCATCTTGTTCCCCTTCTCCAGGGATTATTTTCGTCATTCTTGTGCACCTCGCTTGCACCTTTGCATTTTATTGCATTATAACAATAATTACTTCTTGGTGTGAACGAGTCTACGACATAACTTCCGCGATTAGCACAAGTTCGATCGATCTTGCTCGGATTCTCTTCCACGGATTAGCACAAGTTTTCGAACTTTTGCCACTTGGGTTTACGCCACACATACATACCATAATACGCTAACTCACAACAGCCTTTTAGTCGAGCAAAAAAGTTGTGACAACAAGCAGTGATCGAGCACTTTTGGGCTATGATGTGTTCACAGTACCGATCGCACAACCGCATTTGTTTATTTACAGTTACTACATCGGCTGTCATCTGTCTTTAGCTGATTATCTTTGAACAACTCAATAAACGCGAGGTGCCATTCACGAAACTCGTGCAACTAAACGTTTTAACATAGCGATGAACATGGTGTTTACTTCTTACCTAAGCGAACGACCTGCAGCGGCATGCTGCTCTTGGGGCGTTGCAGACACTGCTGTGGAAGGTCCGTCTTGGACAGTCCATTTAGAGCCGCGTAAAGTGCGGTAGCCACCATGTGGCTGCACTTTGTGGCCCCACGAGGGCATTTAGTGACTTTCTAAATTGTCACCTTTATCGGAGAGCGTCATCCTTACCGTGTAGCTTGTGGGAGCCTCTGGCTCCCTTTCCCTGATCCGGCCTTCGGGCCGCGGGCGCGACGTCGGAAGCCACTTGGCTTCCGACCGGAGCGTACCTTATCGTGGCAAGGAGAGGCAGCCATCTTGGTTGTCTACTCTCGCCACTCCTCCGTCCGCGTCCCTCCCGCTGGGGGGGACGTAGGGAACTTCCCTTTGGCGGGCTCGCCCGCCCCTCCGGGGACGAGGCTGGAGCCGCCAGGGAGAGAAGGAGAGAGAGAGCGGGTCCTCTGGCCGCTCGGAGAAGGGACTGGTCTGCTGGTCTTGAAACTGTTTGGACGTGCGGCCACACACTCTGCTGCCCCACCTCCGTCCAGGCTCTCGGGAAAGTGCGGCAAGGTAAGGACAACCTCCCCCTTGCCGTTACTAGTCCTTATATCTTTGTATTTATCCGGACAAATAAACCCCGGGTGTCCCTCTATTCTGTGTGTCCGTGTACTCCCTTCGTGAGTCCCGGCTAGCGGGTGCAGCCAGCAGTCGAACCCGTCGTAGCGGTGACTCTGATCCGCTGCGGGGTGGTGGTTTCGCGGTCGGCCTCCTATCCGGACGCCTCGCACCCCTTTGAGACCTCCACATTCTGGCGCCCAACGTGGGGCCGCCTATCTGCGCAGCAGTCGGTTCAGCTCCCTGGACGATCTTGTCGTTGAAGCTCGCCGCCTATAGGGCGATATCCTCGCCTCGCGCGCCTACAGGCCTCCGCCCCACCCGTCGGAGTCCCTAGAGCCGCGCTGTGCGTGGAACGGAGACTTCGGGGCTCGGACTCGCCGCCCTGAGGCGTATGCGGCATATGTCGACACGCGGGGAAGGGACACGAGAGACATTTCTGATCGTGCCCTGGACCCCTACACCTTTGGCTTGCGACGAGGCTCCACAGAGGCGCATGCGGCCCAGCGCAATCGGGACCGCCCGTCGGATACAAGGCAGCGCAGGGGGGCGCAGGTTGAGCACCAAGATGCTCCCAGTGAGCGTCCCGCCCCGTCGAGGAACGTGCGACGGGACCCACCCCGCGGTTCGGACGCACGGTGTTTCCGCTGCGGTAATCTGGGCCATTTCGCCCGAGAATGTACTGACCGGCGGACAGCGCCTCCCAACGCCTCGGGAAACGGAGCAGGCCGCCGCTGACGAGGCCGGCGGCTCGGAAGAACGCGGGGGCGCCCATGATCGCCCTCGCTCCGTCCGCGTATCGGCTCAATTTTTCACCCGATGCGCCTGCTCCGTTCTTGGCCCTCACAATCGCTGGTCGAACGTTTGCGGCTCTCCTTGATTCCGGGGCCAGCGCATCGTTATTCGGCGAGGAAGTATTTGCACACTTGCAAACGCACTCTGTGCGGTTAAGAGAGTGCAACACGTCCTTCCGGCTGGCCGCCGGTGGCACCGCCCAGTCGAGCGGTGCCGTGCGGTTAGTCGTGCGATAGGACCACAGAGTGAGGCGCCACCGTTTCATTCACCTCCCGACCTCTCTGTACCGGTCATTTTAGGGCGAGACTTTCTCGCTCGAACAGGGATGGTGATCGACGTCGCTAACCGAGGTTACCGTGAGGGCCCCTTTGGACCGGTGAAACCCTTTTGCGAATCCCCGGCTGCCTCCACGGCCCCCGTCCCGACGAGCGCAGCGAACAACCTGAGTCGCGAGGGAGATGCTCTTTCCCTGAAACCGGTTGCGGGCTGCGCGGCTGTGCACTCCCCTGCTCCCAGGTCGGCGCCCGCCGCCGGAGCGGGGGGATCGTGCCCCCTACTCACTGTTGACACCCACGTGCGGTATTACGGGACTTGATAGGGCGCGCCTCTCGTCGTTGTTATACTCTTATGACACGATGTTCACGGACCGACCCGGCTGCGCTGACTCAGTGCGGCATCGGATCGACACAGGAGATGCTCGCCCCTGGCGATGTAATCCTCGTCCGGTCAGTTTGGCTAAGAGGAAGGCCATTGACGCCGCCCTGGATGAGATGATCGACACCGGCGTTGTCCGGCGTTCAGAGAGCCCATGGGGCTTTCTGGTCGTTCTCGTCCCAAAGAAAGACGGCCCATCCCGCCTCTGCGTGGACTACCGCAAACTGAATGAAGTCACCCGTAAAGACGCCTACCCGTTCCAAAGCATCGACTCTATCATATCGAACCTCGGCGGAGCAAAGTACTTTACAACTCTCGACGCCAGCAGAGGCTATCTACAGGTACGAGTCGAACCCGACGACGCGGCCAAAACAGCCTTTGTCTGTCACCGTGGGCTTTTTGAGTTCACGCGCATGCCGTTCGGGCTTACGGGAGTGCCCATGACATTCCAGCGACTGATGGACCGTGTCCTCGGGGAAGCGAGATGGTCATATGCCATGGCGTACCTCGACGACATTGTCGTGTACTCGGACACCTTCGAGGACCACTTGCGTCATTTGGAGGATGTTCTTTGAGAGACTAAGAGCTGCCGGAATCACTCTGAATCCGAAAAAGGCCCAAGTCGCAGAGACCCGCATTTCTTTGTTGGGGTTCACGATCGATAGGGGCCACGTCTCGCCTTGCCCGGAAAAACTCCAGGCACTCCTGGAGTACCCGGCGCCGACGGACGTCAGCTCTCTGCGCCGCTATCTTGGGATGATAAACTTCTACCGTCAGTTTATCCCGGGATGTGCGGCTCTCCAGGCTCCCTTAACCCGCTTATTGAGGAAGTCTGCGAAGTGGGACTGGGGCCCTGAGCAGCAGGCCGCTTTTGGTAGCCTCGCGGATGCTCTAGTGGCCACTGCCAACCCGAAACTGCCCGACCTGAACCGATCGTTCGTGATCCAAACTGACGCAAACGACCGGAGACTCTGGGCGGTTTTGCTCCAGGAGCACGAAGGCGCGCTCCGACCGGTTGCGTTTGCCAGCCGATCGTTGACGCCCGCTGAGACCCGATACAGCGTGACCGAACGAGAGTGCCTAGCCATGGTGTTTGCTTTCCGTAAGTTCGACATGTTTGTTGATGGGACTACCTTCGTCATTGAGACCGACCATGCCGCTCTAAGGTGGCTAACCTGTCTTCGAGAGCCTGCAGGTCGCCTGGCGAGGTGGGCGCTGACGTTACAGCGCTACGACTGTGTGGTGCGCTACCGGAAAGGGAGCAGGAACGTGGTGGCCAACGCTTTGTCTCGGGCCCACGTTGCATGTGCGAGCCTTTCCGAGTCAGAAAGCCAAACCAAGAATGTGATTGCGTCCGAGCCACGCACAGCCCCGTCCAACGAAACACTGGCCCCCCCGTGTTCTGCAGACGCGACCGTGAACCTCGTCGACCCTATAGGCGGCGTGGGGATCCCCTTTGGCAAACAAGAGCTACGAGAAACACAGCGGAACGATCCGTATTGTCGAGAGGTTATCGATGGACTCATGAAGGAGTCGGACTCGTCGGAGTCGGGCGGCGCGGCCGCCGGGCGATCAGCTGGTACTGCTGAAAACGCCGAGCGCCGGAAAGCCACTGGTGGTGTGGTTGGCGCATTGGATTCGTTCCTGCTTGATGCTGACGGGCTTCTTTTGTGGTATATACCATGTGAGAACGAGACATCTGATCCGTTCAAGGTGGTGGTACCCCGCGGGCTGAGAGGCGCCCTGTTGCGCTTCTATCACGACACCCCCTTGGCCGGGCACTCGAGTGGCCCTAAGACTTACCGAAAGTTGTGTCACTCTGCTACCTGGCCAAACAAGAAGAGGGACGTTCTCAGATACGCCTGCTCCTGCCACCTGTGCCAAGGCCTCAAGCCATGAGGCGGCAAACCCCCCGGCTTGTTACAGCCCATCAAAAGCCAGCAACCCTGGTCTCTTGCGGCTTGCGACATCGTCGGCCCTTTTCGAAGGAGCCCGAGGGGTCATCAGTACCTGCTGGTTGTCACGGACCACTTAAGCAAATAGGTGGAACTATTTCCTCTCCGAACGCTGACAGCTCGAGTGATCCTAGATAAACTACTGGAGGTGTTCTCGCTCTTCGGGTATCCCCAGGCTTTGATAACTGACAACGCCAGCGTCTTCACGGCAAAGGTATTCGTGGACACCTGTGCAGCCCATGGCATTAAGCACAATAGGACCACGACGTACCACCCCCAGTCGAATGTGACCGAGCGTGTCAACCGCAACCTCAAGCCAATGCTTGCGGCTTATGCGGAGCGACACAAAGATTGGGACATCTATCTCACTGAGATTGGGTTTGCTCTGCGGTCCACGGTCAACCGATCGACGGGTTTTACCCCTGCCATGCTTACCTTCGGGCGAGAGCTCCTGAACCCCATGGACCGCGTGTTGGCGGCGAGTGATGGGGTGAACGATGCGCGGCCAGCCTACGCTGATTACACACGGCAGCTCCAGTCGCGGATAACAAAGGTCTTCTCTGAAGCCCACCGAAATCTGGAAGCGGCAAGAGCTAGCCAGAAGGCCCAGTACGACCGCTCGCATCGGGACGTCCGCTATCAGGTGGGCGACCTCGTGCTGAGGCGCGCGCACGTGCTTAGCGATGCAAGCGAGGCCTTCTCAGCAGCACTGGCGCCAAAATGGTCGGGCCCGTACCGAGTTAAAGAGACATGCTCCCGCCTTGTCTATAAACTAACGGACCTGCAATGCAGAGACGTTGGGGGACCGGTACATGTCTGCGACCTGAAACCCTACACCAGGAGGGAGGGGGAGCCGACCGAGGACACCTGTTCTTCGCGGCAGCAGACACGCTCGCGGCGAAGCGGGGCCAGCGGCCTTTGTCCGCCTCCCCGCTATCCACTGCGGAGCCGTCGTAATTAGGGACGACGAAATGCCGGTCTCCGCGCGACCCCTGGTCGCAAGGGAGATCGCCAAATCAGTTCTCGGCGACTTCAGTTTGTGTACGCAGGGTGCCATTTAATTCTGTTAGTGGCACTGCGTGGCCTGCCTCCCGAGGACCCTTCCGCTCTGCAGTTGGGCCGGTTAATGGACACACACTGTCTGAGGCCAGCTATTGGCACTGGGGATCCGACGGCGAACCACGTTCTCGGCAAGCGATTGCTTTTCCTTTGTTGACAGCGTTTTCGACCGAGAACAGAGGCGCAGTCCACTCGGTTTCCCCTATCCACGGGCCGGGAAGAAGCGCCCGCGGCCAAGTTGCGAAAATCAGCCAGAGGATGCCCCACCGGCTTCTCTATGCCTGTTTCTTCGCCGCCGCGCGGTTTCGCACCCCACTTTCACCGCGCGGGAGGAAGAAGGGGGACAGAGGGTAAGTGCTTTCTACGCAACACGTAGGAAGATGCCCCGATGTCTGCCTCTAAAGCCGGTTCCTTCACCCCCTCCCCCCCCCCCCCAACGTCTTGCGGGGGAGATTGGGGAAAAGAGAGGAAGTGGGCCAGAACTGTTGCGGCCCCGACCTTTGGGGGGGAGAGGAGGTGGGGTGCCCGGGGCTATCGAGCACAAGAAATGACAGAAGACCCGCTGAGTTCTCAGTCTTACTCCTGCAAGATGAGCGAGCAGCATCCCGGCACCCAGCCCCGAGCCTCTGAGAGCGGCCCTTCCCGGGAAACGTGTTTTCCCGAACGGGGACCAAGGAGAACCGCGAGGCGAAGGCGTTTTTCCGGCCGCGGGCCGCAGTGGCGATTCGGGACCTGCCCGGGCCAACACCACCTGTCGGTTGACTGCGGTGGCTATGGGGGCCACCGGGACCGGGTCCGCGGGCCGCCAGGACGAGCGGCATCTTGAGGGGGATGCATTGCCAAGGGCGCGACGAGACGGGGCCTGCCCGGGCCGCCGCCACCCTCCGGTTGACTGCGGCGGTCATGGGGGCCACCAGCACCGGGCTCACGGCCTGACCGGACCGGCGGGTTCCCTCGGGGCTCCATCGGCGGCTGCGGCCGCGACGGCCATGAGCGACGCCGTTCTCGGGGCCTGCCCGGGCCGCTGCCACCCTTCGGTCGACTGCGGCCGTCATGGGGGCCACCAGCACCGGGCTCGAGGGCAGTCCGGACCGGCGGGTCACCTCGGGGCTCCATCGGCGGCGGCTGCGGCGTCCGTGGACGACGCAGCTCCGGGGTCAGCAGCCGGGGCGCCCACCACCGGTGGCGGCGGGCGAAGGTCGGTGTGCCACGTCGCGACGTGGACTTCTCAGAAAGGCACGGAGCCACCTCGCTGTTATGTCTCGTGGCATAAGTGGTCGCAGCAGCGGTGCCCACGGCCAGGGGCACCATCAAGGACGGTGCTGCCGGTATTTTTGGGCCGCACCATGGACGAGGAGGGCCGGGAGGCTCAGGGCGCCTGTTTTGCACCGGATCCCGGTGCCGTGTACTGCGGCGTTTGCGGCACGCTGCGCCTCCACGAGGTGCATGAGGCGTGCCGCTACCACCGGGACCAGGTTTGGGGAACCACGCCGAGCGCCGACCCCACCCCGACCGACCTGCACGCCGCCCTCGACCAGCCCGGCGCCGTGGAGGCGGTGCTGGCCTACATGACCCAGAGGCCAGGGTTCGCGGCGGC